ATTTTATTTCTGAAAGTGTTGAAACTGAATCGTGTGACAAAAGTTTAACTTGTTCTGAAATTGTTTGTTCGGGTTTTGAGATATTGTCTAAATTTGTCAAGACGTACTTGAAGTGTCGGAAGAAACGTAAACAAAAGAAGTGTTTTAACTGTAGTCAAATTGGTCATGTACGAGCCAAATGTCCTAATAAAGTGGTTAATGCCAATGTTGATGCAGCTGGAAAGTCGGATAATTGCAGTACTATTGAAATGTTTTCAGAATCAGAGGTTTTAATCGGTGACGATTTCTTTGGACTGGCATACTAAAAACGGTTTACCTTGATGCATTTTCTTAGGGTTTATGTGTATTTGTGTGTTGTAGGTGTTTTTGTAGTTGTTTGCATACAAATATTGTTCTCTACTTTTGTGGCAACAGTTCAAAGACGTGCTGCATGTCAGAATAACTGGTTTGTACAAACTTTCTTTTTACTTGGTTTAATTGGTGGTAAATAATATAGTTTTAGGCTTGATCTGAATGCAGTGTGTAGTTTGTAGGATAGTTATTATAGTTTGAATTGGTTTATATTTTGGGTTTTTACTCAATTGTTTGGATTTGTAATCTCCATCTAGATATTTTGTATTTAGGGAGTTTATGATGGTCTGGTTTTGTGGCTTTTGTTAGTCATGGCAGAAACCAATAGTTTGTACGAATAGTTTGAAGTTAGGAACACTTCTTGCTTTTATAGAACGTAGCACATAGATGGACCCGATCCATCTCAAGTGGCACACAGCTGTGTTACTTTAAAAACAACGTTGGAGTGCTGAACCCGATGGTACATGTCAAACGTACCGTCGTGAGATCTACAATGGTGGACTTTACCTAGTATTGCCACAACAGAAGCATAAACAGCGACTTTCGACCGTTACAACATTTATTCACCTAGATGCCCGCCCGATATTATCTATAATCCGAAACAACTTGGGGAATTATAGCAATGGATATTTAAAGAGCGCGTCCGTACAGAAGTAGCAGTTCAACCCTTGATGTGATGTGTGTATCCGTGTGCTGTGTTGTGACATTTTATTTAAAAATGGACATTAATTATGTATTTTTGAATTGAACATTTCATGAACATTTATTTGTACATGTGTAATTTGTTGTTTGTGTCAAATGTTATTTCATGAACATTTTTTCTTAAGGGGGAGGAATGTAATAGGAATGGATTATTTCCCTTTTCATTACTTAATTATTTCAGGCTGTTAATTGATTTGCTTGATAATATTTCATTTACATTTGATTTATTCTATTTAGTATTCATATATTGAGCAAGACTCACATTTGAGTTCCTTTATTTATTTGGCGTTTGCGATAATTTTGCAATGTTATTTATTTTTGCTTACCATTTTGAAAGAAGTTCTTTAAATGAAATAATTAAAATATTTGAATATGAACTAATTCCCCAAAGACGGGTTGCCTGTCTGAGTGCGATGCACATTAAAAGGAACTACAATAAGATGGTTTGACTGTCTGAATTTAAGCTTCTATAGGCAAGCCTCGTGGCGACATGATGGCTGAGTTATACCTTGGTTTGCATAAATGGTTCCAAGGGTTTCTGTCTATATGTTACTAAGATGTTTTGATGTTTTAAATGTTGAATCGAATATGTCTTTACTTTCTTTTTATTAAATTGTTATTCATTTTGCTGCTTTGAGTATTATTTGAAGTGCCTTGGAATATACCCCATACACTGTATCCAGAACCATCTCCTCACATTTGGTCCCGCGAGGCGGATACAGTTGTTCCTGGTGTATATATATTGTTTATAAGTTTGATTCATTTTTTAATATTTATATATATTTCTGGTCATGTTTCGGTTTGAAGAAAAACCTTGTTTGTTCGATGGTGTCAGCATTGATGTTACAGATTATGTGGTTCATTTTGAAACTGTTTCATTATGGAATCAGTGGACTGAGTTTGAAATGGCTTGTCAACTTATCATTAATTTGAGAGGTGAGGCTCAGACAGTTTTACGTTTTCTAGAGAAGAAACATATGCAAGATTATCAGTACTTGAAAAGTTTGTTGGTTCAAAGGTTTAACCCCAAGGAAAGGGAAGCATTTTTCAAAATTGAACTGAAAAATTGTACGAAAAAGGAGAGTGAAAATATTTCTGAGTTTGGTCAGCGGTTCAAAATTTTGGCGCACAAGGCATATCCAGAGAGTTATTTTGATTTGAATTTGTATTTGGTTGATTTATTGATTTCAAAATTGGATAGTGAAATGGGGAAACATGTCGCTCTGAAACACCCTAATTGTTTGGATGATGCAATATGTTTGGCACTTGATTACGAAACAGTTTGTCTTACAACTGGCAATTTTATTTCTGAAAGTGTTGAAACTGAATCGTGTGACAAAAGTTTAACTTGTTCTGAAATTGTTTGTTCGGGTTTTGAGATATTGTCTAAATTTGTCAAGACGTACTTGAAGTGTCGGAAGAAACGTAAACAAAAGAAGTGTTTTAACTGTAGTCAAATTGGTCATGTACGAGCTAAATGTCCTAATAAAGTGGTTAATGCCAATGTTGATGCAGCTGGAAAGTCGGATAATTGCAGTACTATTGAAATGTTTTCAGAATCAGAGGTTTTAATCGGTGACGATTTCTTTGGACTGGCATACTAAAAACGGTTTACCTTGATGCATTTTCTTAGGGTTTATGTGTATTTGTGTGTTGTAGGTGTTTTTGTAGTTGTTTGCATACAAATATTGTTCTCTACTTTTGTGGCAACAGTTCAAAGACGTGCTGCATGTCAGAATAACTGGTTTGTACAAACTTTCTTTTTACTTGGTTTAATTGGTGGTAAATAATATAGTTTTAGGCTTGATCTGAATGCAGTGTGTAGTTTGTAGGATAGTTATTATAGTTTGAATTGGTTTATATTTTGGGTTTTTACTCAATTGTTTGGATTTGTAATCTCCATCTAGATATTTTGTATTTAGGGAGTTTATGATGGTCTGGTTTTGTGGCTTTTGTTAGTCATGGCAGAAACCAATAGTTTGTACGAATAGTTTGAAGTTAGGAACACTTCTTGCTTTTATAGAACGTAGCACATAGATGGACCCGATCCATCTCAAGTGGCACACAGCTGTGTTACTTTAAAAACAACGTTGGAGTGCTGGACCCGATGGTACATGTCAAACGTACCGTCGTGAGATCTACAATGGTGGACTTTACCTAGTATTGCCACAACAGAAGCATAAACAGCGACTTTCGACCGTTACAACATTTATTCACCTAGATGCCCGCCCGATATTATCTATAATCCGAAACAACTCGGGGAATTATAGCAATGGATATTTAAAGAGCGCGTCCGTATAGAAGTAGCAGTTCAACCCTTGATGTGATGTGTGTATCCGTGTGCTGTGTTGTGACATTTTATTTAAAAATGGACATTAATTATGTATTTTTGAATTGAACATTTCATGAACATTTATTTTTACATGTGTAATTTGTTGTTTGTGTCAAATGTTATTTCATGAACATTTTTTCTTAAGGGGGAGGAATGTAATAGGAATGGATTATTTCCCTTTTCATTACTTAATTATTTCAGGCTGTTAATTGATTTGCTTGATAATATTTCATTTACATTTGATTTATTCTATTTAGTATTCATATATTGAGCAAGACTCACATTTGAGTTCCTTTATTTATTTGGCGTTTGCGATAATTTTGCAATGTTATTTATTTTTGCTTACCATTTTGAAAGAAGTTCTTTAAATGAAATAATTAAAATATTTGAATATGAACTAATTGCCTAAAGACGGGTTGCCTGTCTGAGTGCGATGCACATTAAAAGGAACTACAATAAGATGGTTTGACTGTCTGAATTTAAGCTTCTATAGGCAAGCCTCGTGGCGACATGATGGCTGAGTTATACCTGGGTTTGCATAAATGGTTCCAAGGGTTTCTGTCTATATGTTACTAAGATGTTTTGATGTGTTAAATGTTGAATCGAATATATCTTTACTTTCTTTTTATTAAATTGTTATTCGTTTGGCTGCTTTGAGTATTATTTGAAGTGCCTTCGAATATACCCCATACACTGTATCCAGAACCATCCCCTCACAATATATTATAAAATAAGACTGGGGTCGAGAAATGTCGAGTAAAATTCAGACCAAATCAGACTGGTCGAGTAAAAATCAGTACAGTCGAGTACAGATATAGGCCATTTCAGATTTTTACTGGTTTGTAGTGTATGGTGATGAAGTTATATTATGTTTATTGTGAAATTTTGGTTTCAATGCTATATTGAATACATTTTTATTTCAAATTGTTGTTCAAATTTCTAGCCAGGGGAAATAGCTGTTGTCAAAAACAGTTCCTAAATTGATGAAATACAATAGATAGATACAAGAAATAGGTATAGGTTGGTTAAGACTTGGTCGAGTATGGGACAGACTAGGTCGAGTATGGTTCAGACTAGGTCGAGTATGGTTCAGACATGTATAAAATGGTTAAGTACTGGTCGAGTAAGGGTCGAGTACAAGTTCAGACTGTTAAGTATGGTTCAGACTACAGTCGAGTATTATCAAGTAAATTTCAGACCAATTCAGACTGGTCGAGTAAAAATCAGTACAGTCGAGTACAGATATAGGCCATTTCAGACTTTTACTGGTTTGTAGTGATTGCGGTATTAATACACCCCTTGCTATCACATGGTTTGTTATTAGCATTCCTTGTGAAGGTTTTCATTAACGTGTAGAAAGTGTGGCTCTGACAATACATTAGGCAAGTTATTAAACGTCCCTATTCTGACAAAACATGAATGTGTATTTTTACAATTGTTGATATTGTCTACAAGTCATATGTATATACAGTCATAAATGCCATTTCTGTTAAAGTATAATTAATGAAAGAATATATGTGTGTATCATATAAAGAAAATTTACATATATTTGTGTTTTACATAAATTAACAAGTACACAGTTATAAGTTATAATTAACAGTGAACTATTTTACAGATAGCTACAGCTGTGAACCTCTCTCTGGATAAATATTTTCCTGGAAAAAACGTTCGGATTATAGCTGAGCCCGGACGGTACTATGTTGCTTCAGCGTTCACAATTGCCACTAATATAATAACGAAGAAAATCGTTATGAATGAAGAAAATGAGTTAACAAGTTTGTTTTTCTTTTATTATTGTTAACACTCAAATCAAGTTAAGTTTTCAGAATGTTGCCAAAGTTAAATTAAGTTACATTGCATCGATATATTCTGACTTGTCACCCACATGACTAGGTTATTAAAATCAAATCTTTAACATTCTTTATAATGTTGCTAATTACTCAGTTAAGCTTGTGTCTAAAAAGAGCCGATGATAATATAAAAAAAATATAGGCTCCAAATAGTCTGTAACTTATTCATGTTATTTCACAAAAATCTTATTAGGAATTATGAATTATGCAGTAACCTTATGATCAATTTAGTCGTATGATATTTTAGAAAAGTAAGCCACTGAATCGCACAATCGTCAATATTTTTTACATACATTTTTTAAAATGTTTTAAATGACAAACGAAAATTGCCTTTGAGGCCAGCCTTTTCACGAAATTGGTATCGAAAGAGGATATTCGAAGATAACATTATATACATAAATTTTTGCCATGTAAGAATAAAATTTACCTAGTAGATTCAAAGATCATTAAAAGGAAATAAGCGAACTGTGGACGGACGACGTAATGGTAGACGACGGTCCAAAAGTGAATTGATAACGAAATAACAATGGCAATACTATTTCATGTAAACAATACAAAACACTCATGTACAACGTCAATGAGCCATGACTTAACGTACAATGCTAAATATTCTCCGTTGAACTGAGAAATACCAATGATTATACAGCTACATATCAAATAAATGAACTTAATATAAGAGGTTCCCCTTAAAGTTATCACAAATTTTAACATCATTACAAAAATAAACTTAGAAATCTTTCAGTCAATAGACCAAATACTCGGCATGGGTATATGAGATGTTGCAATGCTCATACAAAACACATTAAATATCTACGTACTATTAGTTGTTTTTAGCTCTTTAAACCGACCTAATAAAAAACAAAAAGTTGACGACGTCAAAGCTTCCAAGGGAAACAACACACCTAAGTTTCGTCTTCAAGACAAACATACACTTGGTCTTCATAAAAATCGGAAATGAACTCAGGTTCTTCGATAGCATTGTCGCGTTTTACATGACAAGTATTAATCCAATAACATGCGTTACAAAATAAATGTATGTAACACCCATCAACCAAGCTATGATTGTAAGCTTAACACATATGATTAAGGGATGTTCTCAGTTTAAAAAAAACACGATTCTAGTTATTAAAAAAGGTTTCTGTACAGTAAGGTAAATTTTACTTTCAGAAGGAGGTTTACATGACCATCCAACAGCACAGAATGAAAACCTCAGAATGTACTATGTAAATGAGGGTATATACGGTAGTTTTCTGACATGTATGACTGATCCAGGGTGTTATGTACCTTCACACTTTAAAGTGAGCGTTCTTTTTTATATCTATTTATTGACACATATTAAACTTTTTGCAAGCATATCACATTACATATGCCTATACCTGGCCAAAATCTAAATGTTTCATTTCACATAATTATCTAGATTACTAAAATAATTAGGTCCAATTTATTAGCTGGTAATAGACAAAAGGAATTTATATATAACTGATATAGGACAATAGTGTTGATTAAAAATTGCAACATTCCCAGTCCTTTTGTTTTCGACATACATTTTAATTGATATTACCAATAATTACCAATAGTATATGCTACATGTATTTCCCGGTTGTTGTAAGAAAACCAGTACGGGTTCAAACAGAAGATTTTGAAAGCAGAGAAAACTGTGCACTTTATAACTAGCATGACTTTATCAGATGACAATACGAATACTTAAAATCCATGCTAAAAATAAGGCGTAGTTATTTTAATGTCACGGATGTGTTCTAGTTAACATGATTAAGTATAAAAAAACAGATTCAAATAATAAAAATAGTTTAAACGATTACCAATTATTATTACTGTCAGATAAATATAACACTTTACAAGTATTGTGTGTCAAAGCGCCTTTCTGGATTGACTTCATCGAGAACGCTCAAACCCAAACATTTGAAAGCCAAAGATGTTTCAAAAATGTTTCTTGTTGTTAAGAAATACGATCACATGACCTTGTCAAAGAGGGGCGAAAGATACCAGAGGGACAGTCAAACTCATGGATCGAAAATAAACTGACAACGCCATGGCTAAAAAATAAAAAGACAAACAGACAAATAATAGTACACAAGACACACCATAGAAAACTAAAGACTCAGCAACACGAACCCCACCAAAACTGGGGGTTTTTGCAGGTGCTCCGGAAGGGTAAGCAGATCCTGCTCCACATGTGGCACCTGTCGTGTTGCTCATGTTATTACAACATGTACAAATCCGGTAAATGGTCTTATTCGGTAGGTTACATTTGTGGTAAAAAAGGAAGTGGATTGTAATTACGACATAAGGAACATATCCGATATCATCTGTGAAACGATTATTCCATAACGGTCAACCAACTCGTGATGGCGTCCGTAAAATTTACGAAGGGATGATTTCAGCTTCACCATTTGGAACTCTTGGTTTAATAGCTTCCTTGTGAGCAGCAACCCTCTATCAAGGAAATCATGATAGGAAATACAAGCCCGGGAATATCGTATCAATGGGGAGATATATACTCCGTATGCTGGCGCTGCTGGAATGTTGCTACATAGAAATGGAAAGTTCACAATTGGGAAGCTGAAATCATCTCTTTTGTCGTAAAGTTTTGTTTTCAACCAACCCTCATTGTCAACTGTAGGGTTTCCTTTGAGTTTCTGGCCAAGTCCCCTATCAAGGGTGACAGTATTATCATAACCCTAATGACAACATCAGGCGATTACCGGAAGTTACCCTTCATTTAATTGAGTATTCATTGGAAGTCGATTCGTTGTCGCCTCATAATAATAAAACAACAACTGCACGTGCTCTCGCATATCCCAACTCGAGAAAAAATCGCTCAAACAATGCAGCCAATGACTGTTAATCTGCTGACCATATATGAAGCCATTCTGTTTAGTAGTAGCTGAGAAAAAGGACGGAATATTTGTTAGACGAAAAGATTTTAAACGGACGGTCACTGTGAACGCAATTAAGCCCCAACCAACAATTGTGGCATGCTTTATCATTATCTAAACGCATGATACATGTAATACAAGTTCAAAAACTATCAATGTCCTTCGTTTTGTGATTCGTTGTCACTGAATCATATGAATGCTTTAACCAGTGAAATTTCAATTATCGTAAAGCTGGTGTAACACACAATTTAATTATCAATTTCCCCAAAACTAAATTTAATCAGAACTAATTCACGACATAAAAGTTTGACCAAATACTGACAAAGATAATAATCGCTGGATTCAGAGACATGTCTGTCAGCTTATCCGAAATCAAAGCATCATGAATGTTGTGATTCAGTCAATTTTGTAGCTAGTCTGATATTTTTTCTGACCATACTTTCAATAATTATTTTTATTTTTTAATATATTATCTTCATTTCCATAATCTTTTTAAAAAATTTATATTTTGTTGCCAAAAAATGGAGAATTTTGCAATATTGATGCAAATTATTTAGGTATTTCAATTGAAGACACTGCCAGATTATTTACATCTTTTTTTTAGAAACATTAATTTTGAAAATTTAATGATTTTGACAAGAATGTTAAGGGAAATCTTCAGATGTGTAGCATATTTTCTATATGCTATTTATAATAACTGACGTAATAATTTCCGGAAAGAAGCACTAAAAATGCACTTTCTCAAAAACAACAATACACTGCTTCGCTGAGCGCAGCTGGATACGCCCGCAGAGGTCCAACCCTGAACAGCTGAGGCAAAAACGGACACAATATTCAAGCTTGATACAGGTCTGAATTTGGATTGTATTAAATATTTGACATATTATAGGTTTCTGAATAAATGTAGTCAAAGAACTTGAAATTGGTTATATGAATTGAATTTATATTCAATTAAAGATTTCTTGCTGTTGCATGTGTTGTGCAATACACTGTGCTGTTGCGCAACACTTAGTAAATCTGTTGTCAGACTATAAACAATTAAAGTTCAATTAATTAATCTCACCAAAGTTTCATGAGAATTGCTGACAGCATTTTTGAGTTAATGTCCGAAAACTGGAAAATCCCCCCTTTTTTAATGAATAAAACCCCATAACTCAGAAATGTAAATTGTAAAATTTATAAAATTCTAAACGAAGCTTTCATCAATAGATATAAACAATTCACCAAAGTTTCATAAGAACTGCATAAAGCATTTTTGATTTTTTTGTCCGAAAACTGGAAAATCCCCTTTTTTTATGAATAAAACCCTGTAACTCGGAAACGTAAAATCTAAAATATATAAAAATCGATAGGGAGCTCATGTCAATAGATATAAACAATTCACCACAATTTCTTGCAAGTTGGTGAAAGCATTCTTGAGTTATTGTCCGAAAACTGGAAAATCCCCCTTTTTTTAATGAATGAAACCCCATATCTCGGAAACGTAAAATCTAAAATTGATAAAAAAAACGATAGGGAGCTCACGTCAATAGAATTAAACAATTCACCAAAGTTTTATGCAAATTGGTTAAAGCGTTTTTGAGTTAATGTCCGACATGTTGACGACGGACGGACAGACGGACAGACGGACAACGGTATACCATAATACGTCCCGTAAATGGGCGTATAAAAATAAATAATTCCCTTTTATCTAAATTGGTGTTCATTCTTCATTGAGGAAAAAAAATACATTTCTTGTATTCAAATATACATGTACAAATACCTAATGCTGAGATAATTCCAATTACTGTTAAATAACAATAAAATGGGGAATATACAAATAAATTTATTGCAGATAATGCTCAGTTAACAGTTAAGCAATTGTGTTTATTGCTTCAACCAAATTACTGATTGTAACTTAAATAGACATTAATTGTTAACTTATGTCAGATGATTATGACACTGATTTTATAACTATTCAGGTGTAATAAATTGAATACACAATGTCAATACCAATAATAATAAATGTTAATTTAATATAAATTTTGATTTACAAAGGAACTATATGCAAGTGTATATCTAAAAAAAAATAAGTTGTTCACCCAACATTTTCTTAATTTAAGGACAAATAGCATATTAAAAGTTGGTAGTTGGTGATTAAAATGGTGTATAAAGTTTCTGCAAGTCAAAGAAACACAGTTATTTTCATGACATGTCTTCAACTTAGAATTTTGCACCATCTCCAAATCCAGAGTGATCGCATAGATCGAGCATGGCTGAATCAAAAAATAAATAAAAGACTTACTTTGCTTTTTTTAAAAGCGGTACGTGGTGTTCATATCATGAGAAGTCTTGTGGCACACAACTGGTACAAGGAAACATCAAATAGCTTAAGGACACAGTGCATGTTTTGCTAATATCTGTCTTTACAGTCGTTAATTGATTATTAATGAGATCTACAAAATTCAGTCAACAGCACAGTAAACACGACCCAGGTTGTTGACTTTGGCAAAATCCGGTTCCCCTAAAATTAGATATTGCCCCCTTTTTTGTTTGGACAATGTTGTGAAATATCAATATTCGATAACTTCGGATTTCCGACTGTGTCTCACAATGAGCAATCGTTTGTTTTACACATATGTCAATTTTTAAATTTGTCTAATTCAAGGACAGTCATGAAGAGGTATTATATAACAGTATTATTTGGGGACCAACTTGTGCTGCAGTGGATTTAGTTATAGACAAAATCAAACTACCCGACCTATCTACTGGAGATTGGATATACTTCAAAGATATGGGAGCATACTCCTTTACTACAGCAACCAATTTTAACAGTATGCCAAGAGTCGAGGAGTACTTCACATGTGAAAAGAAATTATGGTATATTTTCTTGCTTTACAAAATTACAATAATCTTTGATTTTAATTTTAGTAGAAAATGTATATTTAGAGGTTAACACTTCCCATACAAAACATAGTTTTTGATAAAAGGAAAGGAGGGTGTGTTAAACAAAAGAAAAACAGAATTATCAACAGCTTGCAAAAAATGATAATTCAAGTTATCATTATGTCAATTTAGTGGTGACTAAAAAGTACCACTACAGTCTTAAAATGATTTTTAGTAAAAAATAAATCATAACATTATTTTAACATATATTTAAAGTATGAATCAATCTGAACATTTTGAAAAAAATCCAGTCATCATCATGTCACAATAGGGAGTAAATTAATAACTAGATACTTAGTATATGAGTGCTTATGGGAGGAGCTAATATTTCAATTATATTCTATACTTAGTATATGAGTGCTTATGGGAGGAGCTAATCTCTCAATTATCTGTTTATTCCAATTGTCAAGCTGTTCATCTCTGACCACCTGACAAAAAATGTGCTCTTATCTTGTTATGCTGCAATCAAAAGTATTTTATATAAATATGGCGGTATACAAAGAAAATCTAAGACTTAAAAATTAAAAGTGGAAAAAAACTAAAGTGATAAAGAAATATATTTGTAAATGTGTAAGAGTATTCTTGAAAGCCCCTGACAAATGTTCTTTCTTAGGCAAGATGAAAAGGTATCTGAATCTGACACCAGCAGCAGTGACAACAATATTTACTCTAGACAAATCACCTGGATAATAGAGAAAGTGTTTTTTCCCTGAAACTTTTATATACATTTGTATTCTTCGCTTATGTGATGATCATGCCTTCTAATTGTGGAAATTTAAGCATTTAAACATTTTTTGTGTTTGTGTTATTTTTTAACTTCCTATACCTAAAAAATCAAGCGGGACAGTCTAAAACTATGGTACCATTTCACTTCTTGGGTGTTCCCTATGGAATTTTTATATTTATGCTGCATTTGTAGTTGCAAAAAATAAACTGTCAAATGGGAGGAGCCAAATAACCAACAAAAAACATACAGTGGTTCCAATCCTACCTACAGTAAAAATCCTAGCTTGGTTTAAAAGTTTCGGTTGGATAGTTCCTGATGAAGATATTCTCTGAAAACTGCTACCTATGCACCAAATCTATATATTGCATTAATTCTTATTTTCTTGCACTGGATCAATACTACTGCTCCAAGACAGTAAGTCCAAACAGGTATCAGCAGCTTAGTAGTCAGTGCTTTGTCACTGACATTATGTATTTACATGACTTTGTAAAACATACATATTCATCAATTAGGAAAGTATTAAGAAAATTTAGTCTACCTCCCTCAGACGAAGGTGACCTGAGATATTTTTGTTTTGTTTTTTATGTTTGGGCTATTTGCTCAAATAATTCCTGAAGTATTAATATATCCTTAACTTTAAAATCAAAGGTCTCGAGCCTTCCTGGTGAAGGTAAATCCAGAAATTAGATTCTAATGCATCAAATTTCTGTAATTTTTGTTTTCTTCTTTTTCCTTTATTGCAATGAAACAACCACACATTCTATTCACATAGGTAATTAAAAATACTGATTTGAAACAAGCTTTAATGCTAGGTACAACATTATAAAAGTCAATTCAAAGTCATGTTCAGCCATTCTCTTTTTCACTACTGTAAGTTCAGACATTATTGCGTTCCTATATTATTGCAAATAATTCATAGAGTGAAAAAAATGCAAGATTAATTATTGCGCTTTCAAAAAAGTCTTATTGCAATCCTCACAAAGTCACATTATTCCCATTAATGCAAACCTTGCAATAAGAATTTACAGTTTCACATGGAACAAGAGTGCAAACATTAAAAGGTCAGTATAACACATTTATAAACGTATAACAAAAACTTAATATTATCAACATGATCAATGACACATGGAAATCAGGTCAAAATAAAATAATCAGACAGACCATTACACCTTACTGTCATTCTGTTAACATGATCAACTTGCATAGTTAAGCTATTTCGATTTGAATCTAAGAAATAGACCTTATCATTAAAACTTCCTTTTGACTAAGGAACCAAGATAATCAGGTCAAGGTCAGAAGATTCTGTCAGACAAACTTGATACCCAACAATCATTCTATACACCATATATAGAAGGTCTATTATGAAGTCCCTGAGAAATAGTCCTCATCACCAAAAATTAAAATCGACAAATAAGCTATGGAAATTAGGTCAAGGTCAGACAGACATGTATACGTAATTGAGTATACTAAATATACTTAACCTATTGCTATAGCATCTGAACAAAATGGACCTAATCACGAAAATTTTGCTAGATTTATAATCGATAAAAAGGGGTCAATTTCAAATAAACCCCACTTGTCACACAAACATGTCCAACCTTTAATAATTTTCTATACCCAAAAGTAGCTGTACTTTTTCTTAGGGACAGATCTAATCAAGAAAACTTTATTTTACCACTTAACATAGACAATGAAGTCTATGTCATGTGAATCCATGCGAAATAAGAAGACACCTTAAACATGTTAAACAATCATTCTAAGTTGAATACATGTGACCTATTGCTAATAGATGAATAGTATCTATGAAATGGACCTTAAATCAAATAATTTAACATTGGTAATTATTGTCATGGTATAAAACCTACCAAACAAATATGTACACTTAACAATCATTGCATACACCAAATATAAGTGCCCATTTAATTATTGGATCTGCGAAACAGACCAAATTCTGAAACCTTAATCTATACAACTCATTCAATAAATCAAATCTGGCATAACAAAAGCTCGATCACATCTCCAAACATTCATGGATATCAGTAACAAGTTTTCTCTCATTTACAATTTCTGCTATTTATGAACTATTGTCTTCATTAAGAAAATGTAAGTCAATATTGTTCTCGACCTGGCTTTCTTCAATGTTTGCAGTGTCACTTAGACATAATGCTTCTGATGGTTCCAGTGGCAAGTCCATGACATCTTTGGTAAATGGATATATTCCTGTTTTTCTAAAGCTGATTGCAAATTATTAGTTGATAATGCATTTTTGTACGCTTTGCATACCATGGGATACACATCATTGTGATCAAGTGCACAGTTTTTCGTTCTGATAGTTTTATGACACAGACTGTTGTAGATATCTTGGAGAAGGCCATAACAACCTACATCCAGTGGTTGCAAAAAATGGCTGGTGTGTGCTGGAATTAACTGAAGTATAATACTATGATTCCTTGCCCATTCAAATGTGCCAACAGGGATATGAGATGTATGTCCATCTATTAATAACAGCACAAGTCCATTATCTGGGACTATTTTCATGAAATGATTGCGGAGAAAATCCATAAAAAAGTCTGAATTAGACTCTCCAGTCTTAGAGACTGTGCCAACAGTTCCTTGTGAATCCCCCTCCAGCAGATTGTCATCTATTTTCTGCCCAGGGAAGATTAAGAAAGGAGGCAATGCATTGCCAATTGCGTTTCCACACCCCAAAATAGTGACTGTTTCACCTTTTCCTGAAATGGCAACACTTTTCTCATCAACATTGTAAATTAAATGAGGTTTGTCTATAAGGTTGTATTTAAGTAAAGCTTTTTCAAGTTCATTAAAGTACTTAGAAATGTTCTCCTTGTTAGAAGTATTCGCTATAACAACTTCCAATGCCCTTTGTTTTGCAACTTTAAGATCTGGCCATCGTCGAATCATCCCATAGAACCAGGCCAGACTCAAGGGTTTATCATCCTTGGTTTTCAGATCTAGCGTAATTGCATAGTCAGTTGCTATGTCCAAAACATCCTGACGATAATATCCATATCCAAGTTCACCTAATCCCATCAAGTGAGTCACCAACCTGCTTTTTTCGTCTGAGGTAAATAAAGGTGCATTGCCCATGGTAGTACACTCAGGATCTATGTTCCCAATCACCCTATCCCTGAGAGTCTGGAACGGTACACCATGTAACTTTGATGCTGAACGGATAGAAAGCTTGTCATCAACGACAGCTTTAAAAGCTGCTGCCATTGTTGATGTACTATGAGGCCGATATTTTTTATTACGCTTACCATGTATACCACCAGTAATTACAGTATCATGTGGATTGATCTACAAAAATACAAACAATGAGTAAATTACACAATTGCATTGAAACAAGATATTTGAATATAGTTTTTATAACATGGATTCATTATTATTCGTAGTATACTATTTTTTGTGGATTTCGCAGGTAAAGGTTAGCCACGAATTTAAATGTTCAACTAAGTGCATGTTTTCTAAATGCTTGTACATGTAAAAAGACTTTGGCAAACAACAAAATAAAATATCAACGAAAATATATATTTTTCAGCTAATCTACTAAAATAAAACTACAGTAAATTATCCTAATAATTAGATCTATAAAGCTGAATTGATTGATCTGAATAAAAAATGTTTTAAATTCGTTTATTAGTTTTTTTGTACTATTTTTTAATTGAATTTTGTATTCTACCAGGAATTTTCATACTTGTTAATTTTTATTGCTTTTCTGCTATTTTCTTCTCTATATGTAATTTTCACATCTTTTAAAGTTAAAATCACAAAAGGTGCTTTGGAGAAGAGACACGCCATAACATTTGTCCTTTGGTAGAATTACTATAGAAAGTTGATTTTGTTGAACCTCAGATTTTAATACATCGATCTTCACCCACTCTTGCAGGACATTTGTATACAACCGTTTTAGAGAGAACATGTATGCCAATGTTATTATTTTAAGATTTCCAAACTGTTGAAACAAAATATAACAGTAATGAAAAACATACTACAAACGTTTGGAAAAACATTTATTAATTCATTTTATTTTTATTTTTCAGGGAACAAGTATATCAACTTTAACTGCAGTCTTGTTATCTGGTTATAGCATAGCACAAAATGAATATAAAATGACTTCATATATATCCTACTGTAACATTTATTACTAGTTTATTGTTATTTATATCTCTTACTGTATATTATTGCTTTGCATCACGGTGCAAAGCTAGTTAACTCTACTATAATCATGGCATTTTGAAATAAAATTGAGAATGGAAATGGGGAATGTGTAAAGTGACAAAAACCCGACCAAAGAGCAAAAAACCATGCAACCAATGGGTCTTCAACAGTGAGAAAATCTTGCACCCGGAGGCAGCCTTCAGCTATTACATAACAAATATCCATTCTCATTGGTTGCCTCATGACGTGGAAAAGATTCCATTGACAAAATGATTTATTTAATTGGAAACCTGTCCTGGATAGAAGATATTTAATACAGACAAACTTTGAGTTTGGATATTCGGTTTAAACGATTGATTGGTGTTAAACGCCACTTTCAACACTATTGTGCTATTTTGTGCAGTCAGTTTTTATTTGTGAAGGAAGCTGGAGTGTCTGGAGAGAATTACGGACCTTCGGTGTGAAAACTGACAATCCTAGTCAATTAAGATTGGAGTCGAGTGCACCTGCCTTGTTGTATATTCGAACTCACAACCTCAGAGTTCACAGGCTAGTTATACAGTAGTGGGACTACTTAGACTAATTGACCACCTAGTTCCTCTCTCATAATATTGAGTATATAATCTATATCCATTATGATTTGTGCAAAAAAAAAATGCAGAAACAATAAAAACCATGTTTCATATATAGCTCTTTAACCGTCTCAGTTCTAATACATCCTTTGCTATCAAATATTTGGCTTTGAGCTTTGTGAAGGTAAATCCAGAAAAGCGCTTCTGATGCATAAAATTTATAACGTGCTGGTGTTTTTTCTTGACGTATTGTCTTATTTGTTGATTTTACTTTCCTGAACATTTTTGCTTGACAATTCTCTATATCTTTTATAGTTTATGCAAAATATGCAGACACAGAGAAAAGTCTCATTACTGAATGCAATTTTGATAATTAAAAAGAAATGTTGATATTAAAATGGCAATATTTCAAGTCAATGTACAGTAAATGGGCTATGTCATATATTTTATCTGTTTTATAACCTGATGTATTGCACAACTATGTATTACTGAATTAATTAGTTCAAAATAAATGTATATTGAATAGAGAACACATAACTCAGTGAAAAATACTGAAATTTTTCTTACAATAATTAAATTAATTAAAAGTACTTTCCACCCAAACCCATATATATTTTAATATGAAAATACTAGAATCCAGTTAAAAATGTCATTTCTGTGTCAGATAATAGCTTAATAAATGTTGATTCCAAAAAATATCGTTTCTATACACTTTTGTTTGAAATAAGGGAGATAATTTATTACTTCCGGTTTGAAAAAATGTCATTTCCTGTATCATATGATAGGTTATTTGACACTGATCACAAAAATATATGGTTCTACCCAAAAAAATGTATATACTTTTACATTAAAAAAGTACAAAAAACAGCTACTTCTAGTTTGTACAAGGTCATGAAGGTCACTTACAGTTGACTCTTTCAAGGTCATATGGCTTGCAACCAAATGCAAAAGGTCCCATGGTTTTATCATGAATAAATTTATAGATATAGCAAAGGTCAACATCTAGAACGTCAAATTCACCATTGACCTTGACCTCAATTTCAAGGTCATCAAGGACCTCTAGTCAAGGAAATATCAGAAAAACCCTGCACAATGTGGTAAAAGCATGAAATTTGGTATATAAGCTCCTAGCACCATTCTAAGCAAAAAAAAATGTGGAGCCAACCTGAAAAAAATCAACTTCCGGTTTTTTTCCAAGATGGCGGACCAAATTGCAAAAATTCTAAACTAAATATCAAAGAAACCGTACACAAGGTGGTAAAACAATGAAACTTATTAAAAAATATATATCAAATATTTAAGCAAACTCTTGTGAAACAACCAAACAGTGAAAGAAAAAATTTGGCGGAAGAAAAAAATATAATCAGAACAAAATCAATAGGTGTTTCCACGGAGAAGTCAAATGGAAGTGGAAAGACCTAAATACATGAAATATAAGTATAAAAGAAATAAATGCATTATTTTTCAATTTTCAGTTTATATTGTAGTTCAAGGAGCCAAAGTTGTATGCAAAAATTTACCAAGAACTATCACATAGTGATTTTGGCCAACAATTAAATAAGCTGCTTCGCCGAGCGCAGCTGGATACGACCGCAGAGGTCCAACCCTGAACAGATGGGGCCAAAATGGACACATTATTCAAGCTTGATACAGGTCTGAATTTGGATTGTAATTAAATATTTGACATATTATAGGTTTCTGACACAGAGTAAATGTATTAAAATTCTTGAAATTGGTTGTATGATTTGAATTTATATTCATTTGAAGATTTCTTGCTGTTGTGCAATATACTGTGCTGTTGCGCAATACTTAGTAAATATGTTTTCAGACTATATACAAAGAATAAGCAAAATAAATTGTGACCCCGAATTTTTCTTAAATCTTGAGGAAAAAAAAAATTGACCACCCCCCCCCCCCCCCCCCCCCCCCCCCCCCCACAAGAAAAATTTGTTTTTACCCCTCCAAAAAAAAGAATATTTGAAGAGAATTTTCTTTTTAGGAAAAAAAATTGTCCCCCAAAAGACTTTTTTACCCCCCCCCCCCTTTTCCAAAAAAATTAATTTTGAGTAAATTTTCTTTTGGTAAAATGTGGTACAAATTAAGAGATATCCTAGCTTACACTTAAACACAAGTTATTGTCTGAAAACTAGAAAAATACTTGTTTTAGACCCTTTTTGGCCCCTAATTCCTGAACGGTTAGGGCAAGTACCCCCAAAATGAATCCCAACCTTCACTTGTGGTATTGAACCTTATGGTACAATTTCAGAGCAATCAAAATACTTATACACAAGTTATTGTCCTAAAACTAGAAAAATGCTTGTTTTGGCCCCTTTTTGGCCCCTAATTCCTAAACGGTTGGGACCATCACCCCCAAAAACAATCCCAACCTTTCTTTTGTGGTATTGAACCTTTTGATTAAATTTCATAGAGATCCATACACTTAAACTCAAGTTATTGTCCGGAATCCAAGTGTCTTCGGACGACGACGTGATGCCAATATACGAATTTTTGCGGTCGTATAAAAAGTTAGTATGTTTCTGTCGCCCAACCAACCAAATTTCTAGGCCCAAACCCTAACACTTTTCCAAAAACAATTAAATTATAAAGCAATCTGAAAATTCTTCCTTTAACATTTCCCAAAATCGTCTGGGTCTGGTTTTTGTCGAGCCTTCGACTTTTGTCGAAAAAGCGAGACATAGCGATCCTACATTCCGTCGGCGTCGTCGTCGTCGTCGTCGTCGTCGGCTGCGTCCACAAATATTCACTCTGTGGTTAAAGTTTTTGAAATTTTAATAACTTTCTTAAACTATCCTGGATTTCTACCAAACTTGAAAAGAAGCTTGTTTATGATCATAAGATAGTATCCAGAAGTAAATTTTGTAAATATTTTACTTATAAATGGACTTAGTTTTTCTGCCAGTTAACATTACATTCACTCTGTGGTTAAAGTTTTTAAAATTTTAACAACTTTCTTAAACTATCCTGGATTTGTACCAAACTTGGACAGAAGCTTGTTTATGATTAAAAGCTAGTATCTAGAAGGAAATTTTGTTAAAATTTTGTTCGATTTTTTCCGTATTTTTCTTATAAATGGACTTTGTTTTTCTTCCAGTTAACATTACATACAGTCTGCAGTTTAAGTTTTTAAAACATTTATTAGATTCATAAACTATCCTGGATTTTTACCAAACTTGGACAGAAGCTACTTACAATCAAAAGATAGTATAGAGAGGAATATTTTTATTAATTTTTTTCCTCATTTTTGTTGAACCTGCGATTAACAGCAAAAGTAGGCGAGACACTGGGTTCCGCGGAATCCTTACGAATTTTTTTGTTAACGCAATTTGTCGACCATTAATGATAAAAAAAACAAATGGCCATCTAAAAATTGTATGTAGAACTAGTGCGCTTGCAGTTCAGTTGATAAAATGGGACCATAAACCTGATATACAAACATTCATGACAGTTTTACACTCAAAAACATTTGAACAATGGTTTAAAAAACTTCCTGATCAGGGCTATGAAAATAAAGGATAAATTATAAATCATGACCTATAGCTTCCAACCCTATTTTTGGGGCATGCATCAGGAAATACACCATTTTTTATAGCCTTACTGTACTATGACCTTTTAAAAAGTAAACTATTCTAAACATCCAAAAGCCAAGAAAGGTTTTTGGTAAACGGGCATATAAAAATGAAAAAATGGTAAAATTTGTCATTAAAGGGCAATAGCTCCGGCCAGAAGTTGTCTTACAGTTTTGACATATGATATAGAACAATTTGTAGAGCTCAACATTCTGAACATTTTTGTCCAGTTCAGATTTCCTCTATTTATAAAGGTTTCCAATATAATCATGATAATAGACAAAACTTCCATTTTACCCCTTTGTTCTATTTTTAGCCATGTCAGCCATCTTGGTTGGCAGGCAGATTCATAGCACACATTTTTAAAACAAGATACCCTAATGATGATTGTGGCGAAGTTTGGATAAATTTGGCACAGAACTTTCAGAGGAGAAGATTTTTGTCAAAGTTAACAATGACTGACAACAACGATGACAATAGATGTCTATGGACGCCAAGTGATGAGAAAAGCTCACTTGGCCCTTCAGGCAAGGTGAGCTAAAAAGGGGGATGGTAATTTCAGAGAATGTAATACTATCAGAAAACATTTAGACAATCTTATGCTTACATTCATATAAATCATGAGGAACACCAGATATTTTTTTGTGATCAAAGGGTGGTGGGGTTGTACCCACTATTCTGGATCTGCCACTGGAGTTGTGGGATGGTTCTTCCTATGTCTTGCATACTTTGACTTTGACAAAGATGAGACAAAATTTATAGCTTAATTAATATCAATACTGACCAGATTTAATTGCAAATCTTCAAAATTTATCACTCCTACAGACATGACAGACATGACAGATATCCTAGTGTCTAATTATAGATGTGATATGTGCTTTTTGTCCAAGGTTATGGTTGTCTTTCTGATATTGTTTAACATCTCATTCCTTATTTTATTGATTTTGTATTTACATCGTGTCATAGATCAAATTTATTCGTTCAGTGTATGTTCACTTGTTTTTGTAAATATGTCTTTTGATTGAGTAAGCCATTTCAATTGATATTTAATAGTGTGTCTTTCTATGTTGTGATGATACACTATTATTTCAGGTAAGGGTGAAGGTTGGTACCTATTAAAACGTTTAAACCTGCTGCATTTGTTTGCACCTGTCCTATGTTAGGAACCTGATGTTCAGTGGTTGTCGTTTGTTGATGTGGTTCGTAAGTGTTTCTCAGTTTTTTTATATAGATTAGACCGTCATGACCGTTGGTTTTTCTGTTTGATTGGTTTTACACTAGTCATTATTGGGGCCCTTTATAGCTTGCTGTTCGGTGTGAGCCAAGGCTCCGTGTTGAAGACCGTTCTTTGACATATAATGGTTTACTTTTACAAATTGCGACTTGGATGGAGAGTTTTCTCATTGGCACTCATACCACATCCTCTTTAGCTATTTTAGTGTCAGCTAATATTTTACGAAAAAAAAGACAATTATATATTTGCATGTTGCAAGCTTAATAATGTTCATTACTTGTTTTTATTGTTACTGTATATTTATATGTTTTTGTTTTCACCAAAAAGCTGATCAGTATGTATGTTCGTAATGTCAGTATCTTGATTAGTACATACTTACATCTATACAAATTTTCCTATTTACTCTTGGTTCAAGTGCAAATTTGGTAACACACAAATATTTACAGGCTGCCCGCATGGACATTCCACCCTCCTTCACTGCATTATAAGCATCCACTAAGGATTGGTAATCATACTGCATACACTTTCTCTTATGACAAATTTCCTTTAAAAAATGTCAAAATATACCGACATGACTTATTGGATTATCAAAAAAGTATATATAAGGCCAAGAAAAATAGACAATAAATTTGCCAAAAAGAATTAAAGTAATATCTAAATCACTGATGGAAAGATTGAAATAACTGTGCTTGTAGTTTTATTATATATAGTGCACTACTGCTGTTAACATATATTTTAGTATTCCTTTGAGGTATGGGGGTGGACCTAAATTTTCATTTTATTTCATGTTATTAACTTCCTCTTAGTTTTTTATACTTCCCTTAATCCGAAAGAAAACAAGGTAAGAGAGTCATTTGTTTTATCCACACCAATAAAAAAAAAGATCGCCGTAAATCACTACATAAATGTATGACTTAAGCTATTGTCTATTTATCAACAAACACAGTAAAAGCAATGTGATAATATCGTAAACCCAGGAAGAGAGAGAAGTTACTAACAAATGTCAAACCATAAACGGAAAGGTCCCTTTCCAGAATTTGGTAACTACCTGGCACCAAATTTACTCTTTACAGCGATAAGTGTGATCTTGTTTTACAAACTATTTTGTTGGCAAAATGTTGCCAATTGTGCTTTAAAATCTTTTATATATTTAAAAAGTTCAAAATTTTTAAAAAATGGCCCAGAAATAAAACCATTTTTTTTTCATGGTCAATGACGATGTTAAATATTTAGTGTCATAATACTCAGATTAAAG